ATCAAAAAGAAAAAAAAAAAAAAAAAAAAAAAGATTGTAACTCCAATTAGTAAGTTATAAATAAGTCTTGTTTCTCATCTCTATCTTAGTTTTTGCTTTTAACTGGAAATTTAATTAAGGCATTCGTTTAATTTAATTAGTTGAATGATAAATAAAAAAATTCAGAAATAAAAATTGCATTTCTGAGAAAATGAGAAAAACACTTGGAACATGAATTCGCTGCTACATTTGCTAGAGTTCAAACAAAATGGATTACACATTGCAGAGAACCCAAGCTTTATTCTCCATCTCTTAATTTCCTCTGCTTTATCAAATCACCCTGACCCATAACCAAGCAGTCGCAAACATCAACGCCAAAAAAGAGGACTTGACTCCGGCAGCCACTGCTGCAGCGGAAGGATTCCCTGAAGGGGCGTTTGTCGTTTCATTTGCTGGAGTATCATTAGCCTGAGGTACCAGTGAAGGAGCATCTGCTGATGGTTTCGGAGGTGCTCCAGTTGGTGCAGAAGTAGGAACTGTACTGGCATTAGGCGAGGATGATGATGCCGGAGATACTGCAACTGATGGTGCAGAAGCAGGGGAAGCAGGGGTGTTACTGGCTGCAGGGGTAACGGCCGCGGTCGGAGACGTAGCTGGGGAACTAGCTGGAGTAGAATTTGTTGGTGCAGGAGATGAGGACGACGGGGATGGGGCGGTGGCGCTCGAATTTGAGCTAGAATTACCGCCAGAAAGCCCTGGTGGGGTTATAAGATTGCTAATTTCCAGGACAGAGATGTTATACGGTTGAGTTAGAATGGTCTTAACAAACTCGGAATTCTCAGTGGACCCATCAGCGGCAGACTGGAATGTCACGTCACCGTTGGTGGAACCCATGATTTTCACCTGCCCACGGCCGCCGGTAGCCAGACCAGTCGTTTGATAAAGTGTGGTGACCTGAACCGTACTGTTCTGCATATCATTGAACCTCTGAGTGTCCAAGTAATCGAGAAGGACGTGCAGGGTCAGTAACGTCTTGATGGTGTCCATTGGAAGGCTGGAAACCATTTGCATGTTACCATTGCCGACCACGAGCACGGTGACGGTCGACTGGCGGTTGATCGCATCTGCCACTTGGGTTTGGGCTAGATAGTTGCTAAATGTGGAGTAATCTGGGAAACTGCTGAGGAGTTCGGTGATATTGAAAGCATTTGTTGCTAAGGAAAGGAAGGAGAAGAAGAAAAAGCAAAGGAGAAAAACTTTGGATGAAAACATTTTGATGAAGAAATTGATGAGATTTTTAATTTTTAATTTTTTTGGATCAGCAGAGAATTTATTGAGCCAAAAGGCAGACGTGAAGAGGAGGATGGAGGAGATGGGTTTTATATGGAAACATGTGGAGAGAAATGGGAGTCAGTTCCGCCATGAAAGAGGGACTTCTGTGGAGGAAGCAGAAATGGTGGAGGCATCCTTCAATGGTGAAGCCAGATGCCACTTCCATATTGCATACTAAATATAGTAAATTCCAGTCTCTAATTTGGGTTTGTGACTTTTTCGGAGTGTTGAATGTTGTCTGCAGTAAGTATGTTCTGTTAATTTTCTTTTTCCCATGTTTAAAAAACATTGAAAAACATAGTAAGCTGTTTCTCTTTATTATTACAAGGGACTTTCAGACACCCCAATTGACCTTTATTTGAAGCGAGCTGCACTGAACTCTTCGTTAGCCTTACAATAGTACTCAAACTCAAATTTTTAGTAATGATTTGTTATCTCATTTATACTACACTCATAATCACAATTTCTATGAATTCAAAGTACAATGTTCCAATTTCTTCCGCTCGTGCAAAAATGCTTGATTTCCTTACTATATTATGATGTTTGTAATCTTAACCCATCTTGATAGTTCCTTTTTTAGAAAACTTGAAATTGCTTATTTAGAAAACTTAAAGCCATACAGAATAATTTCAAATAGAGGACAAGATGAGACAAGACCAAACCACTATGATATATTACATATTACACATATAGGGGTGTTTGTTCCATTATGATTTGTTTGTTTTACACATATTACACATAGATTAATTCCCTGAATTTCAAATGAGGAGAACTTATTTATTAAAAGTAGGCAAAATTGAATGATAAGGACGCAAACTGTGATAAAATTCTCAAATAAGGGGACATATAATGGAATTTCTTAGCACTGTTAACCTCATTTCTTAATGCTGTTAAACTCCTTTCTTTCTTTCTCTTATGTGCCATGCCACAGGCAAATTGCTTTACTCCATTGTGGTTTAACGTGAATGCAGTTAATCTTGAACAACAAAAAGTGCATTTCAACTTCATGTAATTTGAAAATGTGCACTTAACTTTCAAAATTATGACAATGTGCTTTTGATCTCCTTATAATTTGAAAATTTTGCACCCGACACCCAAGTGCTTTTTAGATTTTACGTACCTTCAACATTGGTACAATTGAGAAGTGAAGTGCACATCATTAACCCTGGTAGAATTCTTTCAATCTCATTGATTCTTAGGATAGGAATGATAATTTTATGAGTGTCAAAGTTTCATTTTACTTTTAAGGCGAATAATAATTGCATACTTAATTTATTTTCTTCAACCTTCGCAACAATTAGCTGAGCCTTATAAAAAATACTTGTATGTTATGATTTTGGCAATTATCAATAATGAAAATAATAGTTGGATTTGGACTTTGTTTGTGGACATTTGTTGGATTGATATTTTCAGTATTCACCTATAATATCTATTAATAATATTAAAAAGGTGTACATTTACATTTTTTTCTTAAGATAGTAGAGAACACTAAAATTCTAGTTGATTCAACACAAGTCAAGAATTTCCTGTCCTAGTAATTATGTTCATGTTCAATCGATTAAGTCTCAAAATATCTTAAGATATTTGGAGGGAAATGATGACTGTGGATGAATTTAACAAAGGGATAAGATGAGGACGTTGAAGAGGAGAATGTCTCCATAAAATGTGGAATTTGAGATATAAGGGTTGGAACTGAAATGACTAAGATGCTGGAGTACAAGATTTGCCTTTTTTTAGGTTTAATGAATTTTGGTTTTCTGGTACCAAACCATGCAAAATTCATTTACCCTATTATTTCCCATAAATTCCAAATTACTCAACTATTGCTATAGGCAGCATTGCTGATCAATACTGACTCTAATCCTATGTAAAACTCAAAGTAATGGAAGTTTATATAAGTAGGGAAACCAATTGATATACATTTTGATTTAAAACGTTACATAATATATTCATTAAAAAATTATTATTATTTTATTTGAATTAAAAGTAAATGAAATTAAAGATGCAATTATGCTCTTAGGACATAGCACCAATTGAATTGATTATACTTAAATTTTTAATACTTAAACTAGACAAATGTTAAAATATATATTTTGAATAGATTATGTAGTAATTATTTTCCAGTAATAAAATCTCTTTTTCTTTTTTTTTTTTCTTTTTTCTTTTTTAAGAAAAGTGATTGAATTCTTTGCTAACTGTAAGTACATGTACTGTCTGGGGAAGCCATCTCTACTCCAGGCATGAAGTATGAGGGTTACGCAAAGTATTTCCATTTTCCTTTTTTCTTTTTTTTTTTCTTGTTTGTTCAAGAAAGAACCTTCATCAGAATGTTATACTCTCATTGGTTGTCCCGCACCTCTAAATTGGTTCGAGTGATTGAAAACTAATTAATAACAATAAACTGAGCATAAGCCATAGCTGCCTTATAATAACCTGCAGGGAACTTAAAACAAATAAGTAAATAAAAAACAAGGAGAGATCATTGTTTTGATGAGTTTGAGATTTCTTTTAACAAGATATGAGTTTGAGATTTGGAAAGGTCCAATAGAAAAACTTAAGTCACAATGGAAAATATGTCACAAACTTGGACTTCATTTGCCAGTTCTATGCTGTGATGTAGCCATTGTTTTTTTTTTTTTTTAGTAAATCAAACTTTGAGCTTGAATCAAACTACCAACTAAATGAAATCAACACTAAAACTTAATTTTGTTTTTTATTGAGTAAGCCAAAATTAAAATCAAAATCTTATTTATAGAATCATAGATACAAATTAATTACAAAGTTCAAACTTGAATCAAAACTACAAACTAAATCAAATCAAGACTTGAACCTAAAAACTACATTCTTTGTTATATTGTGCAACAATAATCTTCTTAGTAAACACAATTTAAGCCTTGTTGGGTAAAAATGCTGATTTGATGAAAGGAAATTTCCATGATAGTTTTTTGTTAAGCATTTCATGATTTATTTGCTTCATTACAATATTACCCACCTTATATTAAACAGATATGTTATGATTTTGGAAATTATTAATAATGAAAAATATATATATATTTGGACTCTCATAAAAAAGAGAAATCCAATTGGACTCTGTGAGTCAAAATTTGTTAGTTTAGTAATTAACTTTAGATTTATTCTATTATCTAAGTGTTTGTAGTACTTTCTTTTTTATTAAGATATTGAATCAAACTAAAACTTATTTGCAAAATCATAAGTAACACATTGGAATATCCAAATTTAAAATGCACCGATTAACTATTAACTATTAGTAAACTTGAATAAGTTAATTAACTAACTGTTGCTGTTGGATTTATAAAGATTCCATTCGATCTCTGCAACTCTAATGTGAATCTTAGAATTGATAATTTTGTGTTTGGTTGTCCATTTCACATTCTTGCATATTATCTTCAAATTTAGCACTAGGTCGTGGCTCATTAGGCAACGAACTACATCCAACTGCTCACATAATACTTTGGGATGAGTGATGAATTGGATAAATCGGACTTGTTTGTACATAAATTTTGTATTAATTTTAAGGTTTATGTATGCTTGTATAATACTTCGTATATAATTTATATTAAGTTTCAAATCTCTATTTTAATTGTTGCTATAAGGTTCAAAATTATATAAAAATGTTCTTTTCAAACTAACACTGCTAGTCTTCTTTCTAAAAAATGAAAGAAGGACATCAAAAAAAAAAAAAAAAATTGAAGAGGAAGAAGGAGAAAAAACGTATGTACTTATGTACTTCATCATATCACTAATACTTTCCCATATTCATATTGAGTAAAGAATTTGGAATTCCAATATGTTGATTATATTTTGAAAATTTTTCTTGAATGATTTCATAAGAATTTTGACAAATGTAGTAATTTAATTTTTTTTTATAAGGTACGATTTTAGTTTTTCACCTACCATGTCACTCGACTATATTACTGTAAAGAATAAAAATAGCTCTTGATAATACGTAATGCTTAACAAAACCACATTTCCCTACCAAAAAAAAAAAACCACATTTATTTGCAGAAAAATATTTCTCAGTGGTAAGGAAGAACCTTTAAAATTGTGGAATTTATTAATGGTTTGTGTTTTTGGAATAGAGAATTTTACCTTAGAAGCAAATAGAACTTGAGATCGGAGATTTTGAGATTAAAGTGTTATTTATTTAATTTTTTTATATATACGAAGATTACTTTTTCTTATACAATCTTAAGAATACACTTTTTATATTAATTTGAGGTTTTCAAATAAATGAATTTATTTAAAATTTAAATTTTGAATTTAATCTACAAAATAATTGTTGTTTAACAGTCTGTCTAATCTTTAAAATTATTAATTAGTAATACATGCTCCAATAAGTAATTACCTTTATTATTTAATTCAATTCTTAGAATTGCTTACCAGATGCAAACTCTCCCTTTTTTTGGGAAATTGTTTTGGAATAATTTTTTTATCATTTTTTTATACAATTTAATGTGTTATTTAAATGATTAATTTTTTTAATTTATATGAGATCCTTAATATTGTATACATCAATTCATTTAATTATATATAAAAATTGTATCAAAAGATAATATAAAAATATTATCCCTATAATACCACTATTTTTTATAGTACACTTACAATTCAACCATCTCTTGAATATTTTATTTATTTATTTGAAGTAAAAAGGTTTTTTTGTTTTTTTGGTAAGTACATGATAGGAGAAATTAAAATGTTCCTTTTTTATTTGAAAAAATAAATATCAATTGGAACTTGAAATCACTAAAATATCTCTAATATTTAAGTTTTAAAACTGAAGGAAAAATATATTTTTTAGAATAATATTTTGTAGTACCTTCTGAATGAATTGCGAACACACGAGTTCACTATATAAAGTACATCTTTCGCAGTTCATGTAGAATGATTTTTTTTAATATATATATTAATTAATCATTTTTAC